GACGCCGACTGGGAGGGGCGTTTGTTCCCCACATCTTATGTACTTTTTGTTCCTCTGGACACCACGCGCAGGAATAAGGAGCCACCTAAATCAGCATCGCCGTCATCATCATCATCATCATCATCATCATCATCATCATCATCATCATCATCATCATCATCATCATCATCATCATCATCATCATCATCAACACCATCAACACCATCATCATCATTATCGTTATCCGTATCATTATGATCACCACTACCAACATCATCGTCAGCATCATCATCATCAGCATCATCATCACCAGCATCATCGTCATCATCAGCAGCAGTAGCCGCAGCAGCAGCAGCATCATCATCACAATCATCACATTCATCATCATCTGTCATCCCACATCATCAGCACCATCATCATCAGCATCATCATCATTATCATCAGTATCATCATCAGCACCATCATCAGCATCAGCAACAGCATCAGCATGAAGATCACAATCGGCATCAACATCGCAATCCGAGCGGGTCATCCAAAAACTTGACATTGTCGTCTGTGAGTATCAGGCGGGCGCCTCGTCTGTGAATGAATTGCGAGGAAGTCTCAGGCGGGAGCCTCCTTCCTATGGGACCCGCAGCTCATGCTTTGAAACCGAGCGAGTCATTCTCAAACTTGTAATTGTCGTCACGAGGTCGAGACGGGCCGGCGAATTATGATTTGAGGATGCCCCGAGCGAAACGTTTTGTGATGGTTATTTAAAGCAACATATTAGATATATAGATAGATAGATAGATAGATATATAGATAGATAGATAGATATATAGATATATAGATATATATATATATATATAGATAGATATATATATATATATAGACACATATATATAGATAGATAGATATATAGATCTATATATAGATATATAGATAGATAGATGGATATATATTTATATATATATATAGATCTATAGAGAGATAGATATATAGATATATAGATATATATATATATATATATATAGATATATTTATCGATCTATAGATAGATAGATAGATAGATAGATAGATAGATAGATATATAGATATATATATAGATAGATATAGGTACAGGGTCGGGGCCTTCTCCCAGCTGCCCCTGGTCGCCATGGGGTCTCTGGGCTCCCCGGGGACCCTCTCCAGCGACCTTAGAGCCGCCCAGACGGCCTTAAGTGATGCCGCGGAGACCAGAAGGCTTCATAATGTCCCGCGGGGCTTCCGGGCAACCTCATATAGCTTCAAGACGGCCCAATATGGTTCGACTTTCGCTCCCCGGAGGGCCCGCAAAAACCATGTATGTACCACTGCTTCTTCGATGTTTTTGGGATTATCAATTTTCGAGCTTCCGATGTTCCACGCCGCCCCAAGAGGCCTCGAAGACCGCCCCAAGACGGCCCTATACTCCCAAAAACATTGAAACACCAGTGGTCAATCAATGGTTTTTGCCTCTTCGGGCCCTTTGGGGAGCGAAAGTGGAGTCCTCTTGGGCCGCCTTGAAGCTATCTGGGGCTGCCCGGAAGCCCCGCGGGACATCTCGCATCCTTCTGGTGTCACTGTGACGCCACTAAGGCCGTCTGGGCGGCTCTTCTTGGGCCGTCTTGGGCCCCTCTTGGGGCCGTCTCGGGACCCTCCTGGCCCGCCTTGGGGCGGCCCCTCGTCGAGCCTCGTTGCCTACGCACGTGGACGCCTTCACCTTTCTCGTGGTCCTGGCCCTCGGCGCATATGGTGACGGCGGAGGCGGACTTGCAGCTGCAGCGCCTGTGGGACGCCGCGGGCCTTTTGCGCCTCGCCGGCGCAGACGCCCCTGCCCATGCGGCGAGCCAGGTCGGCAACGTCTTCAAGTACGCGGATCGCGACAGGCAGATCTTCGACCGCCGAGGACCCAATTGGCTCGAAGGACGGCTGGCCGAGGGCCCTTCGGGGGGACTCGCTACGGGCCCGCGCCCGGCCGACCCACACGTGACGAGGGACTCGAGCACGTTGTGGGCGTCGGCGCTGGATCGGAAGGACTTCTGCCACCAGCTCGCCGTCACTGCCGCACGGGCGTCGACCGACATCTGCGGCCTTGCCCGCGACTTGCGGGCCTGCGCGGACTTCCCCTCCGACCCCGCGAGTGCGCTGGAGGGGCGGGAGGGCGCTGGCGTCCGCGGCGGCGGACAGGCACCTGGCGGCGCGCGGGGGCGCCGCCCGCTCGGCCCAGCCTCGCGTGCCCGAGGGTGCTCCGCCGCTCTCCCCATGGGCGACCGTGCGGCGGTGGGCCTGGCGCAGAGGGCCCACGGCGAGCTCCTCCGCCGAGGAGGCGGCCTCGCCGAGTCGGAGGCGATCTGCGGGGTGGAGCCCGTCCCCGGGGGCCCCGTGGTTCAGGGGCTCTGCATAGACGACTACTTCGTGGTGGAGCGAGTCACCGGGGCAGACGTGGCCCAGCTGGCCGCCGCCCGCCAAGTGCGCCCGAGAGGAGCTGCCCGAGTCGACCTCGAAGTTTTGTAGTTCAGGAGCTGTTGGCGACGCTGGTGGGTGCCGAAATAGGTGGCGGGCAGGGGCGGGCTCAGCGAGGGCTTTGTTACCGTGGGGGCCCCGCCGGAGCGCCGCCTCGCCCTCTCGGCGCTGAGCCTCGCGGCGGCTCGCCTGAAGGCCGCGAGCGGGCGCTTGCTGGCTACCCCGGCGTCCTCGTGGATTGCGGTCTTCGCCGACCGCCGCCCTCTCACGGCGGCGCTGGTCCGCATTTTCAAGGTACCTGGCGTGGCCGAGGCGGGCTTCAAGACGCGGAAGGCCGAAGCCGCCGCCAAGCTGGGCGCCGTCTGCGGTCTGTCGAAGCCCATGAAGGAGCTCGTGCCGGCGTCCGTCGTAGATCCGGCGGCGGTCACCGACATCTCCGCCCCGTGCGATGACAGGGTCTACGCCGTGGATGCGTCTCCGTCGAAGGGGGCCGCGGTGAGCGCCCCGCCCCAGCCGGCGCGGTCGCCCGCCCCTGGCGATGCGGGGAGCGGCGCGGGGGATACTCCCGCCTCGAGTCGGCGCCGAGAGTGGCCATGAGGGGGATCGGCCAGCTGGGCGCCAGCGCTGAGTCGGGCAACTTCGAGGGTGTCCTCCACGAGCCTGGGTGGTTGGACCACCCCTCGCGGCCTCTTCGCCCTGTTCTACGAGTTCCTGGAGATCGGAGGCGGCGGGGTCAGAGTCGCCCAGGAGGTGGTCAAGCTGGGTATGATCTGCGGGCCCATCCCGGACTTGAGCTGCAGCGTCTGGCACGAACTCGGCGACCTGCGTCTCGTGGAGTGGATCCTCTGGCTCATCTGGACTTGGCGGGCCCTCCGCGTGATGGCTGAGCCCCCGCCGTCGAGCTTATCTGACGTTCGCAGGGCGCGGAAGCGGTCGACCGCCTCGACCCCGCGGTGCGCATCGGCAGCGCTCTGGCTTTCCGCTGCTTCGCGCTGCTGCTGACGGCTGATCTCGCTGGAGCGGCGGGGCTCGTCGGGACCCCGACGAGGTCCAGGATGCGGCAGCTGGCGGCCTGACGGCGCCTGCGCGCGCGGACCAGCTTCTCGGCGAATTGGCTCACCTCTTGCGCGTTTGGGTCTGCCTGCAAGAAGGAGCTCGCGTTCGTGGGTGCGGTGCGCGGGCCGACGTGGGCGCGATGCGCCGTCGGTGTCCTGGCGGCCGCGTCCACCCTCCCACCGTGCAGGCGGACAGCGCGGAGCCTGCCCTCTTCCCGAGCGGCGCGGCGGCGGCCGCGGCCGCGGTCGTCGAGGCGTCTGTTCGCAGGCTCCAGATCGCCGACGAGGAGCAGTGCACCTCGAACCCAGGCTCCGCGCAGCTGGTGTTGAATGAAATCCTCCTCGCCAGCCGCTGGGAGGTGAACCGCGGCTGGCGTTGGAAGCGGCCCGCGCGCATCTACCTTCTGGAGTCCGCCGTCGCGAAGAACTGGCTGGAAGGCGCGGCGCGGGAAGGATGGGGCCGCCGAGTCTTCGGGATCCTGGGCCCCCGCGTCGCGCTGTGCTCCGCTGCGAAGGGCAGTTCGCCTTCGGTTGCTCCGAAGGGCAGTTCGCCTTCGGTTGCTCTCCGGCGGAGCCTTGGTCAGATTGGCGCGACCGCGGTGGGGGGGACCTGCGCCCAGGCTTCGGCCCCCCCCCCCGAGGTTCAACCCGTCCGACGCGCCGACGCGTGAGAGGGATTTCGAAGACTCGTGCCGGCCTCCGCCGTCTTGGCCCGCCGTGCCAGGGTCGCGGGAGGCGGCCTCGCGGGCGCCCGCGGCGCCCGCCCCGCCGGCAGCCTGGCGGCGCCTCGTCTTCGGGAAGGCGCCCGCGCTGCTGCAGGAGCCCCAGCGCCGCCGCCGCCTGGGCGCGGTGGCAGCGCGCCTACCAGGGCCTCTTCGGGCGTCGGCCGCCGTGGCGCGGGCGCGGGACATTCTTCGACCAGAGCGTCTTCGACTGCTTCCCTGGGGAGGACTGGCGCGCGGGCCTCGCCGCGTGCGCGGCGATGGTTTTTGCCTCTGGGGTGCGGGCGAGTGCGGCCGCCACTCCCGCTTGCGGTCCAGGCGACGTGCTGGCCTCCGCCCTGGCAGGGGGCGGGGCCCTGGCGGACTTGCGGGCTGGCTCCCGAGCCGCCCCGCTGGTGGGCCCCCGCCCGCCCGCGGCGACTCCGCCCGCGCGGCCGCCCGCCCCGCTCCGCCGCCGAGAGGGCGCCCCGTCGGAGAACGAACCCGCGGGCGGAGGTTCGTCTGCTTGCAGTGGCTCGATAGCTGGCCCCAGGGGCGCGGCTGCCACCTGGCCGACCTCCTGGGAGCGAAGGGGCCCGACGTGCACCTGATCAACACGCTGCTGGAGGAGCGCGGCCACTTCCTTTGGCGCTCGGGGGTTGCCAACTACGAGCTGTCCGAGACGCTCGGTGCAGTCTCGGGGGTCCGCGGGGAGTTCCGGCGATCCCTCGGGGGAGCGTGGGACGTGGCTTGCAGTTGGTTGGATCAGGTGCCTCGTAGATTGCGTCGCTATGCCCGT